AAACGTTGGTTAAAAAACAGATGGTTAAAAACAGCGTTCATGACGAGCTGGCAGGAAGTTCATTCTGAAGGTTTAGTGAGTGACAGACGACTTCCAGCTAAGCTGAAGCTCGTCCGGCTGCCAGAAGCAGGCGGCTAACTTCAGAGATCTGTGTGAACGCTGAGCTAATGCTAGTTAGCGTCTTGTGCTCGACTCGCTGCCCCAGCCTGTGGTTAGCAGTAGTATTACACCAGAGTACAGCGCAGCATTGTATATCTCATCGTAGCTGCTTTAATAATCCTGGAATAACAAGATCTGCTCCTCGTGCTGAGAATGAAGAAGCTCACCGGGTTCCCCACGATTCCGGACTCTCCGAACCGGCCGTCCTGCCCGGGTGCTCCCTGTGGATTTGAACACATCACACTTCAGAGCAAGGATTTGAGACAGCGATGTCACCAGCACGCTCTTTAGACAGACGTGCATACGCAGCAGGAATCTGTTAAAGAAACCTCGCAGTCTGAGCTCAGACTGTGAGGTTTCACATCAGTACTGCAAATCAGAGAAATGAAGTCGTTTCCAAGCAGATGTCAGCAGGTTTGCCCTCAAACACAGACAGAGAGAAACGAGGCGTCTACTTTTATTTATCTGAGACACATTTCTGCTGCGTCTGCTCTGGGACGTGTCTCACCGGCAGGCCGGGGTTTCCTGGGTCGCCTTTGGCTCCGGGCGAGGTGTTGTCGGCCCCCGGTTGTCCCTGTCAGAAGAAAGATGAAGCCACAGATTAAACAGTGAGCGTCCAGCTGTGGCCCAGCTGCGCTTCATGCAAACATTTATTAAAAACTTTGTGTGACGGCAGACGGGCTGCGGTTACTCTGAGTGTGTGGTTCGGTCGCAGCTCGCCTCGCGTTAGCGCCGGCGTCAGCGAGGACCGCTCCAGAGTGCAGGATTACAGAGCGGGAATCCGCTGCCCTCGGTCCCGTTTGTGCCACATTAAAAACCCTCGTGGTGCTCAAACACTTGTAGTTGTCCTCCAAGGCGATAAACATAATATACCTGGATGCCCGTTTGATCATCGGAACACCGTTTCATGTTCCCACCTCACAGTTTAAGACTGTCTGCTTTTGGTTGGTGCAGCTTCGATGCTTCCTGCACAGAAACATCCAGACTGAAGCTCTCACAGCTTCCTGTCTGAAGACAGATGCTCGTGCGAGCGTCTCATCTGTTTGTTTGTGTGTTTTACAATCACGCCGATGACTTTAACCATCTGCTCTGCATGCACAGATTAATACGCTCGTGTGTGACGGACATCCTGGCTGTCTGGGTTTCATCACAGTTTGCTATTAAAAGGCCCGACAGCTCAAAGCTTTGCTTCAATAAATACAGGAAAGAAGAAGAATGTGCACCCCCCACACCCACGCCCCTTCCCCCTGTGGGACACTTCTGCCCCTCCCTGGGGTGAGGGTGCTTCTTGGCCCCGGGGTGCATGGCTGGATGTTCTGATGTGGTCGTTGGCCTGCTCTCTTGGTGGTTTGGGGGGCTGCTGTCTCTGTGCATCCTTTCATTCTACCCCTGCCTGCCCGTGCTATTGCACAGATAATAAGTCATAACTGAAATGAATAAATAAACATGAACTAGTGGAGCCTACATGTATCTGGTCTTGGAAAAGCAAAATGTGTTCGGCATCGCCGTGCATTCACATCACAGTTCAGAGTGCAGAAGCTGCCAGACGGGACAGGATATCAAAGAAGAAGAAATGTTGATGTAAGGAGGAGAGAAAACACGAAAAAGCCAAAAACAGTTCAGAGAGGAGGAGAGACGAGAGAAGACGAGGAAATGTTTGACACTCACCGGATCTCCTCTCAGTCCTTGCTGTCCTTTCACCCCCGTCTCCCCCGTAATTCCTGGGATACCCTAAGGACAACAGTTCAGCCCGTCAATATAAGCAAAGGTCAGAGGTCAGCAACCACCAGCATCATTCCTCTACTTTAAAAAAAAAATCCCACTGTTTCGGATCATTACAGCCTTAGGACCCTACACCACACAACATGTTCCATCTAAGCCTGAAGCCTGACTCTGTCATCCCCTATGTAGCCGGGGTATCAGAGAAACTCAGAGTTTTCTCCAAGCATGACATCCCAGTGTATTTCAGACCCAGCAACACACTCAGAGAGAAACTGGTTCACCCGAAAGACAAAACGCCAAAACACAAACTTAACAATGTGGTGTATGCTGTACAGTGCAGCGAGGAATGCTCAGACCTCTACATTGGAGAGACCAAACAGCCACTTCACAAGCGCATGGCACAACACAGAAGAGCCACCTCCACAGGACAAGACTCAGCAGTTCATCTGCATCTAAAGGTCAAAGGTCACTCTTTCGAGGATGCCAATGTTCACATTTTGGACAGAGAGGACAGATGGTTTGAAAGAGGAGTGAAAGAAGCATCTATGTCCACTGTGAGCGACCATCTTTGAACAGAGGCGGGGTTTACGACACCAACTCTCTGCCATCTATAATCCAGTTTTGAGATCCTCCCCAGACGCCTTAACGCCCACTCACATCCTGGACCATCTGACCTCAGGAATTCACATGATAAGGTGGGGCCAGGTTTCACAATGAACACACCCGAAACTCTGGCTGATTGGGACCCACACCCAGTTTCCCACCTTGGCTCAGGTGATTAGAGGATCATCAGGGGGTCCTTTTGTCCCTCTGTGGGGGGAAACTCCCACTAGGTTTATATCTGGGACTCTCCAACATTTGACCTTAGAACTGAAGAAGCTTCTCGGATGAGAGGTGAAACGTCTTCAAGCAACTTAAAGAAGTCCAGACGCTTTTCTTTCCAAGCTACTTAGACTACGATGACCGAGAACCTTCACAGACGGATCATTACAGCCTCATTTCTAAAGACACCGAGACGGCTTTACTGAAACTCACTAACGACATGATACAGGTGGTTGTAGCTCAGCAACCTTTGACCCCTTTGATTGTCACACTCTCACTAACTGATCTGGCTGCTCTCAGGAGCCTCTCATCTTAAACTGACAGATGTTTCAGAACTGATGCTAACATCTGTACGTCCTCGTGCTAAGGCATCCCTCAGGGCTCAGTCCGGGTCTGTTTGCATCACACATGTTAGCCGTGGGCTAGCTGCTATCTGCTCTCTCCTTTCCTCCAGCTCAGTCCCGAGGTTCTCGTGTTCGGCTCTGACGGTTTCTTTAAGGAGGTCGGTCGTTACGTGAACAAACATTTGAAGTGTGCAGTATTTGAAATTTGCCATCCAATCATGTAAAATACCTTTTAGTTCACACTTTTTCTCCCACCTTTATCCCTGTGAGTCAATTTTAAATGTGCCTGTGTTTTTGTCCAAACAACCTCCAACGGTGCAAACCAAACCGCTGCCTCATTCTTGGTTCCCTTCTCTGACTCAGTGAAATTCAGAATTCATTTGAAAATTGCAGTATAAAGTATCGATGTTAAAATAACATTATATAGTTTTTGTTTTCTTTTACCGGGTTGCCGAGGTGTCCTCTCTCTCCTCGGGCTCCATCCCGTCCCGTCACTCCCTGCCGACACAGAAACACAGGAATGCCATTAAGCATGGAAACCCCCCCAATCAGCTCCCTTCCTGAGACGCCCGCTCGTTTCCTCCACGATGAGGACAGAAACTCATCAGTGTCTCTCCATCAGTGAGTCAAATCTGAACCTTTGGATCATTGTCACCAGTGTTGGTCAAGTTACTTGAAAAAAGTAATCAGTAACTAATTACTGATTACTTCCCCAAAAAAGTAATCCTGTTACTTTACTGGTTACTTAGTTACTTTTTAAAAACACGATGTACACCCTGAAGAGGTGATAGAGCGATAGATCTTTCAGCCCAATTCTACTTTTTCTGCATAATCCATCATACAAAATGTAATTAAATGGAAAAGTCTCTTTTTAAAACTTGTTTTATTAGTTTTAATCTTTTAACTTTATGCATCAAGCAAACATTTAATTATCTGCAACATTCTCTGACTGGAAGAAATTAGTTTAACATTGAAACCTATTTTCTGCACATTCCAGCACATAAAATAAAATAATTTTTGTGTTTACACTCAGTCTTTCAAATAGATGCAAGTAAAACACAGCAGAAAATAAATAAAGTCAAAGACTCAGCGGTCCTGTTGCTCTATTTTCACCTGTAAAGCAGGAGTGGGGTAGGCGGAGGTTTACCCTGGTGCAGGTGTGCCGCGGTCAGTGGAAGAATCCGCGAGTTTCTCTGTGAGTTTCCCATTACGTCGTAGCTACTCGGTGCTTGTTGGAAGTTTAGGGGTTTTTTCACTGTAAAAAGAAGTTTTCTTCCCACGCACAGCGGACACTAATGTTTTTGTCACTTTTTATGGAATTAAACTCAAAGTAAGGTCAGTACTTCCACGCTTTAAACGCTGCACGCTCATACTCTCTCTGCACTCGATATATGATCCATTGTTGATCTGCACACAGCTGTTGTCACGAACGTCGCACTCGCTTACGTCACTGTCATGAGACATTCTCGCAAAAAAATCACGGTTTTAGTAACGCAGTAACGCAGCGCTCCTACGGGAAAGTAACGGTAATCTAATTACCATTTTTGCAATAGTAATCCCTTACTTTACTTGTTACTTTAAAAAAGTAATCAGATTACAGTAACGCGTTACTGCCCATCTCTGATTGTTACTGACTCTTCGGGCTGTTTACTAATAATTTTTTATGGTGGCGGTAATATGATCAACATTTGATGCATGATGAAAATGAAAGTTGACCGTCGAGGCAGGAAAAGCAGCGCGCCGACATGCCGGGTGTTGTACTCTCCGTGTTCACTGCCTCTGAGCTTTGAATGGCCGAGGGCCGTTTCAGAGAGCTGTGACGTCTGTGTGAGAGCTCGCCGACTTCATCTGCGCTGCAGCGTTATCAGGATGTTTGCAGCTGCCGGGGAACAAAGGAAGACTTTGGAAAAAGAGGGATCTGCCTCAGATAAATGATGTTTGTGATGGCAGCCGAGCGGAGAGTGAAACTACCCTGACTCAGTGCTGACATATGAGAGCAGTCAGCAGCTGTCTCTGTGGATGGACTGCAGCTGGTAGTCCTGAGCTCAGGAACCAGCTCTCCCAGTGCTGCCGGACCTGGACCACCAACACCAGCTGCAGCCCAACAGTTCAGCATTTCACTGCATATCGGACTGTGTATGACTGTGCATGTGACAAATAACATTTGAATTTGAGCTGGACACCAGAGTCTCTGCAGAGGCAGCCGTTGGCATCGACGACCAGCGTGATGGTTAGCAGAAATGGAACTTTCAAATTAAAAGCCCGGGGTCTGGCGCTTATCTTGCTGAGTGGATGAAAGACTAAAGGAAACGTAGCGGTGTTGATAACACATAAACGATGGTGTGATTTTGCTCATATGAACCTTTTACTTTGGGTTAACAGAGGACGCTGAGCCACCAGCAGCTATGACACAACATAATAATTTATCAAAGGTTTATTAAATATTTCATTGATGTTAAAATAATTATTCAGTAATGTTTAGTTACCAGTTTATTGGGAAAATAAACAAAGGAGGCAGAAATGTGGTGATTCGGTCGTTGGTGTGACTCAGGTTTCCCGTTATCTGTCATCATCCTTCCTGTTTATGCATCGCGATATCTCACGCTACAGATCACAGAGATACCTGACGATGAAGGCGATCAGGATGAAGCTGTGCTATCTGTACGTCAGTACCTGTTCTCCGTCCACTCCGCTCAGCCCGTCCTCTCCGTCTTCGCCCTGCGGCGGTGGAAGAAAAGTCTTCTGTGAGACTTTATCAGGACGTGAGTGTTTGTGCTTCCTCCTACATTCCTGAGTAACTCACCCTTTCTCCTCGCAGCCCTCTGAAGCCCTGCAAACACACAAACGCACACACATCATCAACATCGGCTTCTGGCAGATCTGCTCCGGGACATTTCAGCGGCACTGCTCTACCTTCTGTCCTCTGATTCCCGAGCATCCCTGGACTCCCTGAGGTCCGCTCGGTCCAGGTAAACCTCTCCCGCCCTGCGACACACAGACAGAGTGAGCAGCGACGCAGCAAAAGACGCAGATGATGGTTTATGATTCACGTTTGAGCAGCTGGTGTAACCCCTGGTCAGCTATTCTTTTACATCGTTACACTGGCAGACAGAGTGACGCTCTTGGTCCGTTTTGACTCACAGAGACGACTTTCACAGATGTTTATCTCTTTATTTAAACGTCTTTTTTGTCCTCAACAACAATTCAAAGTGACGTAGAACTGCAGAGAAAGACTCATAATGGAGACGCTGAAACAACAAATATATTTTCTGTGGCCTTAAGTCCAGCAGCATATCTTCTGAGAGTAACCAGAGACGCTGTTGGTTTGAAGATGATGAGGCATGTGTGCAGATGATGTGTATGAAGGAAATGAAGAAGCACTTACAGCGAGGCCCTCCTCTCCGGGGAAGCCGGGGTGACCCTTCTGCCCAACCGTGCCCTGTTTTTAAAAATACAGGTGACGGTTCAGTGCGAAAAAAGGAGATGAGAAACCTTCAACGGCCAGAAAGACAGACAGCTTCATGCCTCCATGCTTCCTAATGTTCGCCTGCTGCTTCACTAAGTCTGAGTAAGGTTTGAAGAAAACCCCCAGGAAGCATCCAGTTCTCCCCCTTTCCTGTTTTTCCTTCTTCTTTTTCCCCTTTCAAATATTTTCTCTTCTATATACTAATCCATTCCTCTGCCCCCCCCCCCCCCACCTCCCTGTGTAACAGTATATCTTTAACACTGGAATCAAGTCTGCTTCACTTTGAAATATCAACCCGGCCACTTTCTAACTATGAAATCACTGAAAGCGTCTGTTTGGTCTCAGAGCAGTCCGGCCTCTTTAATGCTTCTGGCACAGTCTCTGTTATTCTGTTTGGACTTAAAAGGCGTGAATATTTCAGTTCACCTTTGACCCTGGGGGGCCCCGAGAGCCACGGATGCCTTCATGTCCTGAACATTTGCACATGACGTTGCAGCACTCCCTGTTTGACACGGCGTCCTGCAGAGAGAAAGAGACACACACTCTTTAAAGATTAAGTTAAAGAAACAGGAAATCTGAGGTTTATCTGTCCATGAAGCCAGATAACACACACAGAGTAAAGATGGAGCTCATCAGCATAGCAGTGTAAATGTATGCTATGTCTTCTAATGATGCTGCCTAAGGGAAGCATGTATAATGTAAACAGAATTGGTCCTAGCACTGAACCCTGTCAAAGTGTGAGGTTGATTTACCTGCAGCGACATGAATCACTTACAATCTGCTTGAGGATGGTGCTGCCGATGCTCGGCATGCCGATGCTCAGAGGAAGTTTGTAGCCGAAACCTCGACCGAACTCCACCATCTGCAGCTGGGCGGGGTAACGCGCTCCCTCGAGAGCCACAACCAGCAGAGCGTTGACGCCTGCGAGAGAAGATGCCGCTGATGTGAAATGTCTCTGTAAATTTATATTCAACAGTGAACAGGTGAAGCTGTTTTTACCAGACTGTCTTAGCAGCTCCGATTCGTTCTCCAGCATCACCACATCTTCATCAAATCCATCTGAGAAGATCACCAGCACCTGATGGAACAGGTTAGCCACACGTCACAAGGTTTCCTTCTATGCCATCATCAACATGGAGCAGGAAATGGTGGTTTTAGTTTTAATCATTGTTAAGACTGATTTTAAAAGGCATTTAACATAAATTCTGAAAAGTAGAACTAAAGATCACAACAAATGTTGCCTCAAAGTGCTTTATGTGAGGTAAAGACTGTAAAAAACCAACCAGGAAATACACAAAAGACTAAAAGCAGGCGTCACCTTCAGGACGGGGTCAGACTGTGGGATTAACAAACACTGCGTGATCCTCTTCCAGCTGTACTGCTCGGCTTCCACTCACTAATAAATCACATGGTTTGTTTAATCCACACTTGGTCATGTATCAGCTGCTCCACACTCCTTTACTGTGAGTCATCATCGTTCCCACACAGAAGGAATTCCAGTATCCTGGAAAAATCCTTCCAAACGGAAACAGCGTCTGGCTGAAGAACGCCTTCAAGTGCAGCGTGTTTGGAAGTCTCACAACGCAGTTTATTGGGAAGCTTCAGAGATGAGTGAAGCAGTAGCCGGAATTATGTGGTTGACCAAGCAGCAGCCTGGTCCCGGAAGACTCTATCCCTTTAACAGCTTTTTTGGTGTGTGTGTGTGTGTGCGTGCATGTGCATGTGCGTGTGTGTGCATATGTGTGTGTGTGCGTGTGCGTGTGCGTGTGTGTGTGTGTGTGCATAGTGTGTGTGTGTGTGTGTGTGCGTGTGTGCATGTGTGTGTGTGTGCGCGCGTGTGCGTGTGTGCGTGTGGTGTGTGTGTGTGTGCGTGTGTGTGTGTGTGTGCGTGTGCGTGTGCGTGTGTGTGCGCGCGTGTGTATTTAAATTACATAAGATAAATGGACGTGTCTACAGGATCCATCAGCATCAGTTCCTGTTTATGAAATTAGCAGCCAGTCGCAATGCAGAAGTTTACAAAGGTTTCATCCACTGATCCTGCTCAGAGCGCTCGTCTATAGTGAGGCGATCCTCACGTGTAAACACACGCCCCCTCAACGCGACCCATCGGTGTACAGACTGTTAGGAAGTTAGTGAACAGGACCCTGTGCCTAAACTTCCACGGTACTATCTTCAGCCTTGTTCCAGCTCAGATTCATAATAGTCACCTTTAGAAGGATGGGGAGCGCAGTACAATTATACAAAGTACTTTTTTATACATGAAAACACTCAGTCTCACCTTCACACCAGCTTTGGACTGCAGCTTGAACTTCTCCCCAAAGGATCTGAGCAGAGCTGTGTTGAAGTACGTAGGCTCTGCTAAATTAAAGTCCATGACTTTGGTCACCACGCCGTCACTGTACGGCACAAAGCTAAAGTCTTCCACTGTGTTTCCATCGCGGCTCACGATTCGATAGGCTACGTTGGGTTTGATGGGCTCGGGGTCGAGGCAGCACAGGCCTTGTACTGAGGAAACGTAATTAGCGATCTCTGGCAGGGAGGTCCTGAGCTGGTTGTGGCCGCTGACCAGCACCTCATTTGGATTTCTTCTTCTAGAAATATCGAATCCCATGGCGATGTCGATGGTGCAGGCTGTAACAGAGACATTTGTATATATTTTTTGGCAAAGACAGGTGGATATGGCAGATAAGAGGGGGAGACAAAGACAAAAGATCACTAGAACATTGACTTTTCAAACTCACATGGTCGATCTGGGGGAGGTTTGGATTTGCAGATGGTGTCGACCACCTTTTGCTTGATATTTTCCAAGCTGCCAAAGTTCTGCACAGTGAAGAGGTTCTCCGGTGTGCCGGTGATCTGCAGCAGCTCCAGAATGTGGACATCTCCAATGCCGATGGCAAACACCTCGATTCCTAGATCCCTTAGTTCGATGGCAGGGTCTTCAACATCATCTTGCGATTCTCCATCTGTGATCAACACCAAATTCTGGGAGATGCCTTCAGATTTACGACTGCCCCGCAATGCCTCAAAATACTCCTTAATGGAAGTCAGTGCCAGTCCGATGTTGGTTCCTCCCCCACTCTGACTCATTTTCAAGATGTGATCCGACATTTCCTTCTCAGTGTAGAACTGGTTGAGGTAAAACTCGTGTTGAAAAGTGCTGCTGAACTGGGCAAACCCAGCACGAACTAAATCTTCACTGACTTTGAAGCTGTTGATGAGATCTATGGTGAAGTTCTTCATGATGGCGTAGTCAGCTTGGTTAATGCTACCCGACTGATCAACTAGGAAGACCAGGTCAGCACGTTGCTTTTCACAAACTGTAAATGAAAACGCAGATATTAGAGACGTGGACCATACACTGTGTGGAGGCTCTTCATGTTCTTTTGTTGACAAATACAGATTATTTTTGTGACGATGGCATGAAACTCACATTTTAAACACATTCGGTGCTCTACACGTATGATGGTGATGGTTAGTTGTTTGCAATTATTATCCCCGGCGTTAAAAATTTAGACTCGTGCCAAAAACTGCAGTTCCTGTAACATCCAGCAGAGGCTCCAGCAGCGAGTCAGTCCCTTTGACACCCACGTTAACACGTGACAGCAGAAATAAACATGTGGATGTTGTTTATGTTTAAGTTCGTTAGATTAGCAAAGTTCATCTGGTTATTAGACGCCTTGTGTTTTCTGCCCCTGTATTCCCTCACCCTTTGTGTTTCATGCTGCATGTCTTATGTTATCAAGTTTGTATTGTCTTGTCTGTGTCTCATGTTTCCTGTTTTATTTTGAAGGAGGTGTGTGTTCTTTGTTCATTGTATTTAGTTTCACTTCCCCTGTCCTGTCATTAGCCTCCTGTCAGTCAGCTGTTCGCCCATGTGTTCCCACTTCCCTTAATCACCTCCTGTGTATTTAAGTCCTCTGTTTTCAGGGTGTCATTGTCAGATCGGTTGCGTTGTAGGCCAAGAGTTCATGTCAAGTTTTCAGGTCAGGTCCATGTTCCTGTTGTAGGCTTTTATTTAATTTAGCTCACCCAGTTTAGTTTATTGTTAGCCTTGCCAGCCTCAATAAACGGCTCGTGTTTGGTCATTCAAGTCACGTTTTGTTTCGTTTTGGGTCCACCTTTCACTCTACACACAGTCAGCCTCGCGGATTGTGACACTTGGGCCTTTAGGTATTATTAAGAAGGTAGTTTGCATTATTATTTGCATTATTAGGGGGTAGCATCTTTGACGTCTTTTACTGTACAAATATGAAGTGCCTTGAGGTGACTGTTGTTGTGATTTGGCGCTATATAAATAAAATTGAATTGAATTGAACAGCTAATTCTTTGAACTGAAGCATTTTTAATGCAACAGTGTACCAACCAATAATATGGCTGCTGTTAGGTTAATAGTACTAACAGACTTCTCAAGAAATCTGAGCTCCAGTTGTGCTGAGTGAAATTTGGGGACTTTATTATGCACTAATTAGCATCTGTGGGATGCTCCCATACAGGCTGTGGAAACAAGTGCTATAAAGCTATAAAGTGATCCACTTTGTTTTCCAAACTTCGGTCAGATGTTTGTGAGCCTTTGCTAATCATAGATTTATCAGTGTCATGTTGGTGTTTAAAGACATCCAGTATGCTGTACTGACTGTAGAAATATCTGAGCTAATGAGTGTAAAAACCCAGAAAACTTCTGAAGTTACTGTTGCCAACATAAAATCTTCCTGCTTGCTTTTCTTACAATGATGTGGGAAGAATCGTGTTTTAAAACGCTTCTTCTCAATCAATTTGAGGATTATTTACGTCAAGTCTGAAATTCAGAAATGTGCTGTTAGTATAATCATTTATTGTATCCTTGCAAATCCATTTTCTTTTGCCTGATGTAATTAGATGTTTAGTTGCTTACCTGGTTTGGTGGAGTTGCACAGGACTTCCGTGATGTTTTTGTAGAGTTTTTCCAGGGCGTCAAAGTTATCCACGTAAAAAACTCTGGCTTTATCTTGACCAGCCATGACCTCCAGCTGTTTCTTGTTGGCTCCTTCTACTCCAATACTGAAGACAGTGACCCCTTTGTTTCTCAGAGCCGCAGATGGTTCATTCAGACTGTGTGGGTCAGTAGCATCGCCATCGGTAATTACCATGAGGATCTGAGGCACCTGCAGCTCTGCCCGTCCACCATAGTTAGCATCAAAGAACTGTAGAGCATATTTCAAAGCTTTGCCAGTGTACGTGTCTCCATACGGGGATTTGAGAGCCATTATGGCCTGGGAAACCTCCTGCTTGGAGCTGAACTGATTGAGAGTGAAAATAGACTTGGGTTCATTCGCGTAGAGGATGACACCGAAGCGGGTCAGGTCTTTGCCAACTGTGGTTTGGTTCACCATTGACTGCATGAACTTCTGCATGCTTCGAAACTTTTCCAGGGTTATGCTTGTGGAGCCGTCCACCAAGAAAATGATGTCAGCTCTTTCTGTCTTCTTGCATTCTGGTGGTAAAAAGCACAAATGTTTGGTCAGAGGGAATGGGAGCAGGAACGTCAAGGAACAGCTCTTTAAAACCTCCTAAGACCCAAACCCTTTCATGGCATGCATTTTTAATTTCTCTTTGCTATTTGGGCTGATTAAGACCTGATGAATGTAAAAAACATTTTCTTTTTACCTATTTTTTTGTTTCTGAGAAGAATGATATTTGTTTTTAATTTTTATAGAGCAGTGTAATGTCCTCGTAAGTGGATATTAGGCCCTTGTAGAAAAATATTAAGTATTGTGGTCTAGAAAACCCAAAATGTGATGTCCACATATGCGGACGTCAAGTCCTAGAAGGTTAAAATATTAAAGTGAAGGCGACGAGGATCTCTTTATCATGTAGGGTTGATGTACCACAATAGGTTTTAATGGTGGAAGAAACTGGAGCCACTGAAAGAAAGCTGCAAACACCCAAACAGAAAGTCCCGGATCTGCTCCAGAAGTTCCCCGCTAATCTATAATGCTGCTAAAATCATCCCTGTCTCTCTTCCACAGCATGTCTTTATCCCGTCTTCCTTCTCTCACCCCAACCAATCACAGCAGATGGCCCCGCCCCTCCCTGAGCCTGGTTCTGCTGGAGGTTTCTTCCTGTTAAAAGGGAGTTTTTCCTTCCCACTGTCACCAAGTGCTGCTCATAGGGGGTCATATGATTGTTGGGGTTTTCTCTGTATGTATTATTGTAGGGTCTACCTTAAAATATAAAGCACCGTGAGCCGACTGATGTTGTGATTTGGCGCTGTATGAATAAAATTGAATTCATTCCTAACCACCACATTGACCTCATTATAATACTGTAGTTCTCATGTTACACAGGTCGGAAAAACAGAGGACCCTTTTAATGTGGGACTCAACAAGTATGTATTCAAAGAGGAGTCCTTTCCTCCTTGGAAAGATGAGTGGACGAATGACAAAATCTTTCCTGTCTTTACACAAACACATATTACAGAACAGGATCCTTCTCATTACAGCAAGGAGCCCATTAACTGGCAGACTACTGAATTAACCTGTTAAAGTAAGAAGCCTCAGACTTGAATGATCTCATCCCTTCTGCCTGGCACTAGACTGCAAACTGTAAAGATTTTTATATTTACAAAAACAAGGATATAGTTCACGTTTCGGGTTGGTCCCAGTCTCCTCTCACCTCTCTCCGGATCACAGAGCTCCAAAGCCACTTGACTCTCCAAGTCCCTCAAAGCATCAAAGTCCCTCTCAGCATACATCCTATCTTGGGATCCACTGATCTCGAGCAGCTGGGTGGTGTTGGCGTCTACCACTCCAATGGCGTAGACCACCACTCCTTTGGCCCTCAGATCTTCAGCGGGGCGTTTAACTGCATCTTGAGCCTCGCCATCTGTTATGACCACTAGCCTCTGCCTCAGGCTGGGCCGTCCTCCTCTGGCTGCATCAAAATACTGAGATACTTCTCTTATGGCTTTGCCCGTGTACGTGCCTCCACCCATCTGCTTCATGCTATCGATGGCTGTCGACATTTCTTCTTTGCTGTAGTGGACGTTGAGTGGGAACTCGAGGCTTTGGACAGTGCTGAACTGCATGACGCCTACGTGCACCTCATTCTTCCCAATGATGGACTTCCTAATGACCGATTTCATGAACTCTTTCATTTTTGTGTAGTCTTCGGCATAGATGCTTCCAGAGCTGTCAATCAAGAAGACGAGGTCGCCTGGTATATCTTTACAAACTGTAGGCAGAGTAGCACATCCATGTTAGCATCGCTGCTTGTATGTTAAATAATAATTACCCTGTTTCAAGAAACAAAGGTGTCCTGTGTTGAACGGCTCTTGTCCTCTCCAGCCTTCTATGACCACGTGCAGCATATTATATCTATATATCTGTCTCTATGTATAGATACATTTTGGCTAATATTTGCTCACTTTTATCTTATTCCTCTGGTGGCATTTGATAAGTACGACAATTTCATGCATATTAATTCAGTATTTTATGCTAACACTTAAAACAGTGTCTTTCTCAGTGTAAAAACTCATTTCTGTTAAGGTGACGAACTCCCTGATATCCAACGATTTATGTCATCAGTAAAATCTGTTCGCCTTTCACTTTGCTTATTTCAGTTTCATTCTACTCTTAACTACTGGTTTAAGGCTGAATACGGCAGTTTTATACGGCTCTTTTCATTAAACTTAAACCCAATGAGATATACAATGACTTAAACACTGAAAATTAATAAAATTCAGCTGCAGTATGTGCTGCTTGTAACCTCTAGACATGCATTTGTAGCATGAGTGTGGTTCATTTCCCCTCACCGTCTGTAGAACAGATATCTGTGATGATTTCATCTTTGATCGACTTTAAGGCATCGAAATTATTGACAAAGAAAGTCCTCTTGGGGTCACCGGAAATCTCTTCCAGCTCAGGCACGTCGGCGTCTTTCACCCCAATGGTGTAGACAATGACACCCTGCTTCCTCAGTCGCTCTGCTGGAACCTTGACCTTATCCTGAGATTTTCCATCCGTGATGACCACCAGGAACTCGGGGACTTTGTGACCACGAGTGACCACAGCTCTCTCAAAGTGTGGACTCATGAATTCCAGGGCCTGCCCCGTCTGTGTGCCGCCGCCTACTTGTCTAATTTCCTCCACAGCTTTCTCCAGCGTGGATGCATCTGTGTAATCGGTCAGATCAAATTCCAGGTTTGGCGAATCTGCGTATTTGGCAACGCCCATTCGGATATGCTGAGGCCCGATACGGAAGGTATTAATAAACTCAATGATGAACTTCTTCATGTCATAGAAGTCAGTGGGGTGAATGCTTCCCGAGTGGTCGATCAGGAAGAACATGTCTGCTTCATCGGTCTGCACGCAGCCTGGAAAGGAAAAGCAAACATTCTGAGTTTTGCAACTTTAAATTTGTTAAAGAAGTCATGATGTTCAAGTTAAGTCATGAAAGTGTAAGAACATGCTGGTCCACACCTTCTTTGATGCCAGCTCTTCTTGTGCTGACTGAGACCGCCTGGTGAATGATGTTATAGCAAAGAGTCTTCTGCAGGTTCTTCTTCAGACCTTTCAGCTTGTCAAAAGTGTCCACTATGAACACGTGCTTGTTGGGGGGGTAGGACGCTATCTGGTTCAGTTCACCCTCGTTGGCATTTTGGACTCCTACAGCGTAAACGGTGACGCCAGCGCGGCGGAGAGCAGCTGCCGCCTCGGTGACGTTATCCTGCGATTCGCCGTCTGTGATCACGACCGCCACCTGCTGAACGCCCTTATCTTTCCTGCTTCCAGCGTCCTCCGTGAAAATATTTTTGCGAGTGAAGTCGAGGGCAGCTCCGGTGTTTGTACCACCTCCGCGATAAGGCAGGATTTTGATGAAATTCAGCAAACTGTCCGTTTCATTAAAGTTGTTGAGGTAGACCAGCGCTGTGGCTCGGTCGCTGTACGTAACGATACCCACCCGAACTCTCTTGTCACCGACGTCAAAGCCGCTGACAATGGACAGCAGGAAAGAGCGCACCAGGTCGAAGTTCTCAGAGCCGATGCTTCCCGACTCGTCCACGATGAAGACGAAGTCCGCCAGTTTGGCTGCTTTGCAGTCTGTAAAGGGAATCATAATCTCGTTATCACTCAAGCATTCTGATTCAGGATGTGACGATGACGCCACACTAATTCTTTTTACTTTTTGTTAATGTGCAGCTTCACCCCAGTTCCACAAAGGTTGGGATGCTGTACAAAATGGGAATAACAGCAGAATACAACCTCACATCTCAGTACACAGCATCACACTTTTTGGAATTAGGGTTAAATATGTGTTGCTAGTAGGTCATTTGGTTGGATGTTGTTTCTTTGGCACAGAATTCCAGGTACGTGACAGCTAATAAAGGTTTCCCATCCAGGGTGCCTGTTTCTGTATTGCCCTCATATTCCGCAATCAAACTAAAGAATTAGTCCACATATACTGTCGAGGATCATTAGAACGAACAGATCCATGTTATTTGTTTTAATAACTCATGTAGGCAGTCACAGTGGGACACCCACTACATGCTGAGAATCCTGTCCTGTCTTCCTTCTCTCACCCCAACCAATCACAGCAGATGGCCCCGCCCCTCCCTGAGCCTAGTTCTGCAGGAGGTTTCTTCCTGTTAAAAGGGAGTTTTTCCTTCCCACTGTTGCCAAAGTGCTGCTCATAGGGGGTCATATGATTGTTGGGTTTTTCTCTGTATCTATGAAGCGCCTTGAGGCGACTTTTGTTGTGATTTGGCGCTATATAAATAAAATTGAATTGAATTGAGAAGTGACACTAGCATTTCAAGCGTTTTGACAATGTTGAAGTGTAACACAGTTTCGGTTAAATATATCTCAATGATGTCGGTTCTACTGCCCGTGAAGCTAGCAACAGTTGTCTCTTACCACCCATACAGGCTGGCTTTCCACTCATGAATGACTGTCACATTTAAATGCAACTAATAAACACATCTATGCTGTGAAGTGGTACATTTAACACAAGCTGTCACCTTGTGTTTGCACTGTCTAAAGCTAGCATATGATAAAACTGTGACTTTCTCACAACAACAGACTTCATCTGACTAGAAGGCTGTGATTTCTCTGTAGGGAAGGTCAATCTGCATCTAACAGACTGAAAACGTGAAAGTAAAAATAAATGTTAAAATATTTGATGTCCTGGGGTGAAAATATGGAAGCATGAAGACATCTCAGATGTTCTCGCCACAGCATGCTGGCGTTTCCAGCAGGATAAGTTTATCATCAAGATTAAAGGTAATAAAACAGGTAATTTACGTGACTGTTCCTTTGTGAATAACCTTTTTCAAACATGCACAGGAGTTGATTTTATGACTGATGACAACAATAATGAAAGTAAAGACTTTTCACCGTGAGTGAGAGTGATCTCCTCTTCCTCTCTTTCAAAAATGGTCTTTAGCGTGGGCACTGCATTGAAGGTAGACTCGTACACGTACGGCGCCGTGGCTATTACACGCATTTCGTCCATTGATGCACCGAAGCTCACTCCCACGATAGTTACTCCTAGTGATTTGATCAGACGTGTCTGCTTAAAAACTGGATCATCTGAGTCTTTTCCACTTAGAACAACCAGAAACTGTCGGAAGCCTTGGGATGCCCGACTTCCTGATTCATTCGTGAAGAAATTAGAGCTGGCGTACTCCAGTGCACTGCCCAGGTTGCGTGGCTGATTGGGCTTAAGTCGGCTCTGGCGGAAGGACCTTACACCAGTGAGCGCCGCCTCTTTGGTTTGGAAAGCATTAAGGAGAAACTCCACTTTGGTAACCGTACTGTACTGGGCCAGTCCGAGACGGTTGCCAGAAGCTCCAATGTTGAGTTGATTGACCAGTCGGACCAGGATGGTTCTGACCTGCTGGAAATCTGCTTGACTGATGCCACTGTCCACCAGGAAGAAAATGTCTGCAAACTTTTCTGCCAACGCTGTAAATTAAGAAGAAAACAGTCCTTCACTATTATTATATGCATTTCCATTTATATGAAATTAAACTACCTGCAGGTCTAAAAGACAAAGGTTTGGAATTGTTGTTGTTTTAATTTCAGTTTGTAACCACAACCCTGCCCTGGATGGCACGATTCTCTTTCATCTGCACAATATTTTTAAAATTGGACACACGCTGTCTCAGAGCGATCCATTTGTTGCTTCTAATTTCCTTTTTTGTGTTTTTTCCAAAACCACTCAGAGAGGACACAGAACGACGGATCTTATTCTCCATATTAGGGTACTAACTTAGGTGCTATAATATACTGACAGGGACTAGAAAGAGAGAGCAGATTTCTCCTGTTTTGGCTTCCTGTTAAATCCAGGATTCAAAGTCCTGCTCCTCACATACAAGGTCTTAAATAATCAGGCCCCATCTTATCTTAATGACCTTGTAGTACCATATCACCCTATTAGAGCACTTCGCTCTCGCTCTGCAGGCCTACTTGTTGTTCCTAGAGTATTTAAAAGTAGAATGGGAGGCAGAGCCTTCAGTTTTCAGGCCCCTCTTCTGTGGAACCAGCTTCCAGTTTGGATTCAGGAGACAGACACTATCTCTACTTTCAAGATTAGGCTTCAAACTTTCCTTTTTGCTAAAGCATATAGTTAGGGCTGGACCAGGTGACCCTGAATCCTCCCTTAGTTATGCTGCAATGGGCTCCAGCAAGGCTGGACAATGGTCCGTTAAGTTTACCTAAAGAAGTTATAGTCAGCAGTGATGGTTAACCAGTTAAAAAAAAAGAAAAACTGGTCATAATGTCATTAAAAATAAGGAAGTGTAAGTAAAGCAACCTAATTTCTTCAATTATAATAAATAATAAAGACTGAATTAAGAATGTCAGAAAATCTAACGTTAGAGTCCACGTTTGAACGAGGGGTGGCATTTGTTACACTGAAACATGTTGTCTTTGACTGTCGGGGGTTTTCTTTCTATTCGCTTTAAAGCAAAGAACGTATCTGTTTCATACACATTGAGTGGTGGATGAGAAAAGCCTTCAGGGGTTCTGCTGCAGCTTGCGGGTAACTCGACTAACATCTCTAAATGATCAGCCGATACGTTCCCGATTGCTATCAATGCAAACTGAGCAGAAATCCTCTGACGCAGTTACATTTTAAATCCCTGACCAGTGAAAATAGAACTAAGCAGCATTCAGGTATTCATTTCCTTCTCTTATAATAAACAATTCTGTAAGGACGTTTTCTTTGTCTCACCTTGACTCCGACTCTCCACGGAGATGCATACAGTTTGCAGCAGACTGTCTGTTAGCCGCTGTAGAGCCTGGTAGCTATCGATAGTGTAAAGGAAGTGGTGTGCAGGTAGGTTTACGATAGACTCGAGCTGCTGCTGGTTAACATCTCCCACCCCAATGGCAAATATGATAACTCCTTGATCGCGCAGGCGCTTGGCGGGCTCGACTACGTCATCCGTGGAGTCCCCGTCTGTGATGACTACAGCAAACTGAGGAACTCGCTGGCTCGCCCGGCTCCCTGCCTCCTGAGTGAAGTACACTGACTGGAGGAAGTCAATGGCCTTTCCTGTTTCTGTGCCTCCTGTTCGATATGGAAACTGATCGACTTCGGCCAGCAGAGAATCCTTGTCCATGTGATCTTTCAGCAGAAACTCCTGGTAGGTCTCGTCGCTATACTGAGCCAAGCCAATCCGAATTTTGTCAGGGCCGATGTCAAGGCCTAAAATGAAACTTCGGAGAAACTGCCTAATTTCCTCAAAGTTATCAACGCCAATGCTACTTGAGCTGTCAACCAGGAAGACGATGTCTGCCACGGTGGCTCTGGCACATTCTGGAAAAGAAGAAGAAGAAAGTCAGGAACATGAGAGGAAAGTCAGTGAAACCTACATTTCTTGAGAAAGATAAAAACTTTGGGCGGGGCTTTCCCGGTTTTATATTTAATAAATGGTCAATGGACTGGTTCTTATATAACACTTTTCTACTCAGACTTATTTTACCTTGAGACGACAGTTTGCATGTTTATGATGATGAACCTGTTAGTTCATGAGCCCATTGTTAGTCAGCGGGCTGGTTTCAAACCTGCAGTCAGCTGAGACCGATAAAGTCACCTGGATGAGTGACCAAACGTTCTGAAAACACCATGTCCAGATGAACAGAATCAAGCTTTTGGGGTTTACCTGGAGACAGTTGCAGGAGTTGTCGTTTGGCTTCTTCTACAGTTGTGCATAGCGTCTGGATGATGTTCTGAGAAATTCCCTGCAGCGCTGCAAAATCTGACACACTGTAAACATGCTGATCGTCATTTGCAATCTCCCTCAGCTGGCTTGCATCTGCATCTTTGATACCAATTGCATACAAAACAATCCCTCTTCTCCTCAGGTTCTTAGCATGAGACTCTACATCGTCTTGGGATTTGCCATCAGTGATCACCACAGCAATTTGCGGCACTTTCTGCGCAGCTCGGCTTCCAGCTTTCCCCACAAAGTGTTCGTTCGACATGAATTCCAAGCCTTTACCGGTCATGGTGCCGCCCCCCTGTAAGGCAGTTTGATGATGTTGTTGAGGATGTCGTCCTTGTTCTCAAAGGTGTTGAGCAGAAACTCTGTGAGTGGATTGTCACTGTACTGGACAAGGCCGATGCGGACGTGATCAGGGCTGACATCAAAGCTATCGACCAGCGTGAACAGAAACTGGCGGATCTGCTCGAAGTTCTCGGCGCCGATGCTCCACGAGCCATCGACCAGGAAGACGATGTCTGCCACGGCCTCTTCGGTACAGACTAAGAGGAAAGGTCTTTAAGTCACGGAGAGGAACTGCTGGACGCTAAAAGGAAATCTCTCAGTAGCTGAGGACGTTTGGCAGCGTGAGGTGTCAGCGTGGCTTATAGACAACAGAGGTGGGCTGTGCCATGTGACTGCTGGAAAAGAAAAATGGGCATGTTGCCGCCGGCTCGTGAAAAGCCTCTGGACTGGAGCAGGGATGCTTGCTGACAGCACTCACCTTCAGGGTGGAAAAGCGTGAGGAAAATGAGAAAAAGCGGCGTGTGGCTTACAGCTGGTGTTCGTTGCCTTCAGAAAGCTTTGCTTTCGTTAGCAGTGACCTGACTGCTAACGAAACCCCGACCTTTAACCCTCGCATCTCATTCATGTGCCTGGTTGCAAAAACATTTCCACACTAACCCTAATAATTCGGGGCCGTCTCAGAAACACCTTGAACACGTTCAACGTGAGCGTGCTCCAGTTGTAATACAGCAAAGGCCCAATGACAGCACTACAGGTCAGGTTCACCCATTTTTAATAGATACTGTTGGTGAATAAGAGCGAGTCAGATCTATTTTTACAGAGGCTCTTTTTAAAGTACAGCTGCTGGACAACTTTTCAAACCCAGAAAACTGCTCCCTCATCAGCAGCTTGATTATGGTAAAACGGGCGTGTGGAGAAGAAGGGGACACACCCCGAGGAGCCAATCAGAGCCACGCACCAGGCCTTCCTTCTCTCTGCTGCTCACGGTGGATCATCTGCACCCACCTCAACCTATCCCAGCGTCTTCCTCTTCTCCTGCCTGCAGCTGCATCTTCATTCTCCACCCTCCCTCCATCCTGCTCACTGAACACCTTCAGCTCAGCTCCACTGTCCCAAGTCTCACCTCCATCCTTGAACCTTCCCTTTCACTCTTGCTGCTATCCTTCAGTCACATTTGCCTCCACCCGCTCCACCCTGCCTGCACTCTGTCCTGTGGATGTTAAACCTTCACCATTTCTGCTCCTGCATGTTCACCTGACCCCCTCTCATTCACACACATGTATTCTGTCTTCTAGTGGACTTCATCCCTTTTGCAGACGTCTCAGCACTGCTGACGAATCACATTTCCTGGCTACACGCTGCTAACTTCAATCTGCTTTTTTATTTCCAGTCATCATCCACAAGTTAATGCTACATTTTTCAGGGATAACTTATGTATTAGTTTAATTACTGACAGTGACCATGGACTGCACCTAAACGTCCAGCTCTACATAATGTTGGAGAAGTAATTTGTGGTTAAACAGATACTAAATGTTTCTGTGTGGCAGCGATGCTGGAACGACAGGATCAGTGGAGGAAGTTTTAATCTGGAGCCTGAGACCTAAGAAGGAAAATGTTTTATGCAGCCAGACACCCGTCGAAGCTTTGTGTTTGTGCGTTTGTGAGCTTGTTAATTGTGCGTGTGCACGTGCTCAGCTGCAAACACATTCCTGTGCAGGGTTAGTGCTCCGTGTGTGAACTTCAAAACTTACCTGTGTGTGTGTGTGTGTGTGTGTGTCAGTGTATGGATGGTATAAACAGCTTCCACTGATGTCATACTTTCACCAGGACGCAGGAAGTGGAGCCATAAGCTGCATAATCACACCCACCTGTTGTCTGAGCGCCGCTGCTGCAGAAACACGCCGCCATGATGAGGCCGACCAGAGCAGCCCGCCTCCACTCCATGCTGGATCGGGTTTCTCTGTACCTGCGACAGAAACAGAGTCTGTTTCACATCTGGAAGCAGCTCCATCACAGCGGGAGCTGCTTCAAACATCTGCTCCACGAGGAACGTGAGGCTGAGTAGATGTTTGCGGAAGCTTTTTGTGCCAAAACAGGATTTCGTTATATAACAGAGACAGAAACACAGCAGAGACACGAGGGGAGGAACAATATTTATGATAATTATGGGATATTTCAGCCCCAGTTAAGATACTTACAATCGTCCAGGTTAAATTATTGGACAATTATGTGTAACTTTAATTTTTTAAATAAAGGTTTGAAGGATTCGTCTAATAAATTGTTCATGAATGAACATGAATGGATGACATGTTGTTTATTAATGCACACAGTGTTCGTAAGGCATGAAAATAAAAACTAGCATGCATCAGGAGAACGGTCCACAGTCTGCATCTGCAGCCGAGGATGAACCCTCCCTCCACACACACACAGGAAATATGGATTTGCATGTCAAGATATGACAGGAATCATCTGATGTTTCCCAATCTTGTAACAGTAAAGAAGCCATCCAAAAATTCCTGCATCCAGTAAAGTAAATCACTTCCAGCCCCGCTTCTGAGCTGAGACGTGAGATGTAGCTCATAATGATGATGATGGAGCGTCCTGATTGGTCAGTTTTTAATCAAGCTGAAATAGTTCGCTCAGCGTGTCTCGCCCACTGATGTTGAAAGTTTCAGTATAATTATTGAAACGACACATTCCTGCTCGCAGCCATGAATTCATCTCCTCGGGGTGCTGTGAAACCAGAACCGCAGCACCGCAATAAAAGCTACAAATCATCGAGCGACAGCTACGAGGTCACCAATCACGTCTGTGCGACGTCTGTAAACCAGTGTCAGACACGGGGAAACTATTAAAACTCGGCGTGTGTGAGCGCACTGACAGGAAATAAGATGTGACGCTCAGTTTGAATAACATCAGCGTTGCCGTGGAGACGGCAGGGGAGGAGCCAGCAGGAATCAGGAAATTGTAATTTAGTCAAAAGCATTTTGTGAATCCAGATGGCGCAGCATCCGTAGCATCCAGGCGGGAAGCCTGTTAGCGGGTTAAAGCTGGGTTCTTTCTAATGTCCAGCAGGGGGCGACTCCTGTATTGAAGTGTTTCTGGTGTGACAGCTCAGGGAACTATGAGGTCTCAGTCGCTGGTTTCAGGTCGGATGTAATTAAAACCATGAGGATAATTCTGGAAACGAATCCCGTTAGAGCAGAAAGGATGAGCGAGATGATCGAGGGGTACGCTCTAAGGTTAATGAAATGCTTCTGTGTCCTTCACTTACTCGTATCCACCGTCAGCACCACACCAACCAGTGGCTATGTCCATCTTTTATATACAGTGTGTGTAAAACAGGCTAAACCCTCAGACATCCTCGGCTGGTTTCTGCTGTCGTTGGGCCAAACGCGATATCTCCACGTGCAGCTCCACAGCCTCAGCAGCCAGATGAGTCAGACTCTTTCTGGTGTTTGCAGCCAGAAGACTTCAGAGCATCATCTGGCTCTCCTCACGGCCTCACGGTGCCATTTCCTGAGATCTGTAGGCAGCAGACAGTGTCTGGCCACATCACAGGCCGGATGAATGAGAGAATATTTTAAATGTTCTCTGGACGATGGTGCTTCAGATGCAGAGGAGCTCCCTGCTGGTTTTTACTGCCTCTCTACTTTCTTGTCTCACGCCCGCCTCCATAAAGTCTCTGCTCTCTGTTTACTTCCTCATTTCAAACTCTGTCCTCCCTGAACTCCTGCTCAGATCACCTCACAACAAAACAACATCAGTATTTAATCTGTCCGTGTTCAGTTACCATCATTAGAAGAGCAGGACAAACACTGAGGAGTGAACGATGAGAGGAGCGGACTGGTGTTGCAGGTTTGGGTCATGGTTAGCATGCATTTAGCCACATGCTAACCAAACACATTCAGAAATTTTACATGCAAACCAGACCATAAAGCACAGATGACAGAATCCACATGTCAACAGTTTAAGAAGCTGTCAACACGTTGTTTGCATTTGTGCTTTTTTTCTGCAAAGCATTTCAAACAAACTTTTTCTATTTGCACAGAATTATAAAATCACCAGGATCAGTTTTATTAAGTGACTCACAGCACGAAGCACTGCTGTGAACAAAGTTCAAACTGAGGCACAGTACGAAACAGGTTGGAGCTGTCACTGAGAGAACATCAGGACAAAAAAAAGAAATCAGATCCGGCGTTGAGACAAAGATCTGGTGATGCTCACACAGCAGGAGGTGGATGTATGACGATGAAAAATCGATGAGTCTAAAGAGCCGAGAAGAAGCGAGCGAACGGGTCAGCCCAGATGAGAATCTTAGTCTCAAAGGAGACGATCGCTAGAACCCTGCAGAGGAACGGACGCCAAAAACTTCTGCAGAAGAGACACCTTCAAGTCAGACTGCAGTGTGCCGAGGACGACCCGGAGAAAGGTTCATGTCCCACAGGGAAGCAGTGGCAGGATTACACTGTGATACTGCAACGAACGACCTCCAGAAGACCAAAGCGAGCGCTACTGTCCGGTCTGACTGTGGGCTGACCTGAAGACCGAGGTCCACGCCAGAAGGTCATCACATCTGGAGGAGCCCGAGAGGTTCTCCAAAGCAGAACGGGCTGGGTTCACCGAGGCGACGAGAGGACGGTCATCCACACACAGGTGAGCCGCTCTGATGCACTTTAATCAGAGTTGTGGGATTAATGAGCCTCGTTAGCTTCGGGTGTTTGCTGTTACCGCTGCACAGCCGTCCATCTTCTCCTGCCTGTCCCAGCAGGGACGGACCTGTTAGATCTCTATCAGAGGCGTGGGCGGCGTGCACGTCCTCGCATGATTCACGAACAGCAGTGAGAACGAAGAACGTTGTTTACTGACAGAGGACCATCGTCTTGGACGAATTGTTCACACGGCGACACAATTGTGCACGACGTGCAGGTGAGCCGTGAAACCAAAATAACGTATCTGACTAACGTGCGTCCTGGATGGTGCTCGAGTGAGGAT